CTCCAACCACAACCACTACACCTACAACCACCACTACACCTACAACAACCACAACACCTTCAACAACCACACCTACAACAACCACCACTACAATTACAACAACCACTACACCTACAACAACCACTACACCTACAACCACCACTACACCTACAACAACAACCACTACACCTACAACCACCACCACTACACCTACAACCACAAAACCTACAACAACCACTACACCTACAACTACCACTGAACCTACAACCACCACTACATCTACAACAACCACTATTACAACAACCACTACTACACCTACAACAACCACTCAACCAACAACAACCACCACTACACCTACAACTACCACTAAACCTACAACCACCACTACTCCTAAAACTACCACTACACCTACAACCACTACACCTACAACAACAACCACTAAACCAACTTCAACCACCACTCCCATACCAGTATTACCTACATTCACTTATACAACTGAAAACTCCAACATACCAGTTAAAACAACAACATCAAAAACTTCTTCAACAGAACTTAAACCATTCGAAACCAAGACAACCAAGAGTTTAAAGACTACAAATCCCATCAAGAAATCCACAACCCCAATAAAGCCAACCTGGAAACAACCGCAAGGCACCAAAACTGCAACCCAGCCTACCACTTCAACTGAAAGTAATGGAATTGGTATCTTTGAGTGGAAAAAGCAGATGGAGACAATGCCACGGGAGCAGAGATTAACTTCTGGTGATTAGATTTATATAGCATTTTGGTTTTCAGATACCAAATTAAAAAAATTATGGAACATGCTGTGTACAGCCAATATGAAAAACTTTTTAAAAAGCAAGCTTACAACAAGTGGGATACAATTTTAATATATATAATTTTTGTTTAATTTCAGGTGCAATAATTGGCACTTGTGTGGTTTTTGTGATTCTCATCCTGGTGGGAGTGGTTATCTTTCTGGCAAGAAGGTACTGAGTCTTTCACTGTTACACTAAGAAAGTTAAAATTAAGAAATGCCAAGTTCCGCAATGCTGCAACTGAAGTAGAATGCAGGGGGGTGGTTGTCATGATCACAATTTTAAAGCGCTTTCCATTCTGTCATAATAATCAAAGGGTTTGGAATGTTTGTTGTTGAGCTGATAGTGTTCACCTTGATTTGTTCCAGGGGATGCCTTCATAAACAAGTTGATCCCGTGAAAAATGGAGGCACAGTTATGTACTTTAATGCAACCAGTGGAGCAGTGAAAATGCAAAATCAGACAAAAAAGCAGGCTGAAGCTGCAACAATGAATAATCTACAGTCAAGGAAGGAAAAAATTCAAAATCAGAAAAACCACCAAGCAGAAGCTGCCAGAAATGGGCGTCATCAATCTTTTGGGTCCATGCCAAGGGCATACAACAATACACTATATGGGGTTGTTGGGAACCAGTGGACAACCATTGAGGGGAACACATTCAAAACACCCAAGGGGCACACCCTAGTACATAAGGAGCCAATCTATGAGACAATTAAACCTCGAAACATTCCTAACGTCACCGGCAACTTAAAGAGCAGCTTGCCAAAAGAGAGCTTGCAAACCTATGTTCATTATCCATGTGATAAAGTAGACAACCTAAAGACTGTCAAATATTGAGGGCCAGGACATTGACTGGATGAGCCAGAATGCCTGTTTTACAGGAATCATTTGAGACAGCCCAATGTCTTGTGACTTAATGTAAAATCAAGGGAAAATTTCACTGGATTTGGGGAAGAGTGAGTCAGAAGTAATGGCAGACTAGGAATGCACTGTGGCAACATGTAAAAGCTGTAGCTGACAGAATTTGGATTATTTTCTGGAAATTTTTCTTGAGTTCTGTAGAATTACAGTCTGTCTCACAACAGTATAAATTCAAAATGTATTGTGTTTAAGTTTTACACTCCTTTCTTAGCCAATATTCACTTATCAAAAAGTGAGCCCTGTCTCACTCCAGCATATGATAGCACTCCATGCTTATAACCCTATGTGGGACAGTTTTCACTCAGATTACTTGTTTAATCATCAATTATACATACTTTTAAGGGCTTTCATAATATCTGACAGCTTCAATTGTAAATAATGCTCAATATGAATATTACTTTTGAATTATTTTATATGATGCAATATTTTAAACTATAAATGGACTTGAATTGCTTTTTGCAGGTATATGGTTGACAGTGACGAATCCTATTTTTTTATACAAAAAACGTTGTAAGTTTATCATACTATATTATAATAAACTAAATAAATTAAACAATATATATATAAACAAATATAACCTTTATTAATTATTTTTATAACTTACTTAATGCACATTGAAAGTTTTGTTAGAAGAAACACACTTCTTTTATTATTCAAAACAATTAGATTAAAAAGCTGTAAGCAAAAAAACTTAACCTTTAAATAATCTTATTTGAAATGAACTGTTCTGGACATCAATGTATCTTCTATTAAAAATGTCATATGCTCAAATCTACAAAACTATAAAAATACATATGAAAATTATTTCTCATGCTTTCTATTTAAAACTTCCGTTTAATCAACTAATGATTAAAAAGTTATATGTTAATAATTTAAAAACCTTTTTATGGGAGTTAAATATGCTACTGTGACATTTCATTTTGTCTTGGGTAACTATAAAGTAAATACACAATTTTATATAATTGCATTTATATAATTGAAACTCTTGTCATGAAATTCTACCAATGTTCTAACAAAAAATTTAAACAGTAAAAAGGTGCTACATTTAATATCTGCTCACATTCAGAGTGTTTCAAAATTTACATTAAAAGCATGACCTTTGGTTGAAGAAAAAATTTGATAACAATTATACAAAGATAATCTCTCAGGTGCAAAAATTCAATAAAAAGAACATTATTTACTCTACTTCCAATTATCCAATGTATTAATAATTATAATATCATCCATACTCTAGGAGAGCAGAAATTATTTACAGTTTATCAGTGCACTGGTGAAACCATGTGTAGCACTTTAGAACAACTGTTGTCATTATAACAGTTATGATGTCTGCGCAGATATTTTAGTGAAGTGGTATCTTAAGCACCCTTATAAACTTCAAGCACTATTATGCTGCAACTAATGTTATTTTCTCATCAAACACAAAAATATATGTCCACTTCTCATTTGAAAAAATCTCATTTTTAAAAATATTCCTGACATTTGTTGCACATTCCTCATGAGGCAGGGCTGATAGACATTTTCATTCACTGAAAATTATTCCTGTAGTCCCTTTTTTCTTTAGTATTGCATACTTAATTGCATCTTCTGAAAAAGAAGAAGAAAATTTTGACTGAAAACTTCTGAAGGTCAATTGTCAACAAAAATCAGCTCCTCTATTATTAAACGGGAGAAAACATATTAGCCTAAGCTCACAAAAAAAAGGATACATGAAAATAAAGCGGACTGCAAGCATACCAACACCCACGTATTATTTAAAATTCATTTAAAAACTTGGCATCTTCCAAATAAACAGCAGTAAAAAATATCCAAATTTCACCATCAAAAGCCATAAGTAATTTGTAACTTCAACTTTAAAGTTAATACATACGTATAACAAGACAGTTGGACACACACTCTAAGATGAAAGCTGAAACCTTGGCTGGCTGGTAAGTCAGCTAAGGTCTCACAGTGTGTGCTGGCCTTTCACACCTTAGTGACCATTCCCAGTCCCTATTGTACTAACTGTGGATCGATCTATCTCTGAGGGGATTATATCTAAATTGCAATTAACTTGAGCTGCTTAGATGTCTGTCACACCTACTGAAGCTGCTAGGGTGTAATCAATTATCATTTATCAGCTTCAGTAGGCGTGCCAGACATCTAAGCTACTTAAGCTGAAAGTAATTTAGCGAGAAACCCCTTGGAGTTGGATCGATCTTGTTCGATCAATCTTGGTATGGGAACCCAGCCTAACTTACTGGAATGTGGCAAGAGATAGGAGTTGTCTAGGCTGTCCCTGGGTCAGAAAGACCAGCCTCTATCCGGACCTCTGGCTCACTGTCTGCAACAGGCTCACCCCCAACATTGCCACCACCCATAGCTGTCGCTACTGGTGTTACGTAACCTGTTATAGATATATACACAACTGAATGATCAAGACTGATATGTGTTTCAATTGTTTATGTGTAAGTTTATTTTCATGTCTGAATGAAAGACAGGAATAAGGTAGTATTGGTAAATCAATGAAATTACAAACAAATGGTAAGATATATAAAAGGGGGGGGGAATACTATTTGCACTGTTCTACATGTTGGAAAACAATTACTGCCTTTTCCAAAATATCTAAAGGAGTCACAACAAATGTATCTGAACTATGATCCATGTCATATTTTTCTCGTTTGACCTGATGGTTGTATATTTTGTTAAGAAACTGAGTTTCCTCAAGATAAAGAAATAAAATGGATGCACACTTACCGTCTTCGTCCCCAAAATTAAAGGTGTCCCCCTGCAATGTTGAAATTGTAAGCAAACGTAAGTGATATGGAGCAGTATTTGGCAAAATTTATTGTTAACAACAACTCTTTGGTTAAAAACGTGCAATTGTGCAGTGAAATGTTCTCACCAGCCATTGTTAAATTCAATATAATCAGACTGCAAAACTAGTTATATCAAGAAGAAAAAACTAAAACAGTATTTGACATGAGAGATCCTTCCATGATTCAAAAGCCTTGTTCTGCTATCATTCATATAAGGAAAGTGAACAGGTACGGCACATTAAAACTACCCACTGATCTCGAACTAAAGTCAAAGAAATGGACAGAAGAAGAGGGGACACGCTTGCACTGAAGAGCTATCCATCTAAGCTGAGGGAAAAAAAAGCTCAAGACAAGGCTATGAAATAATGGTATAAGAAATTTATTTCCAAAATTTTCCTACATATAAAAATGATTACTTGTGCTCTGATTTCAAAGTAAATATTGATATGTTATACTAAAAAAAACATTTTGTAATTTGTGAGATAGAAGAAAATTTACATCTAGCAACCATGCTGCTATTTTTCCTCCTCTAAACACTATCTCTTAACTTTTTACCTAGGTAGCTTTTATCCTTCATTACACATAAATTACCAAGGATTTCTTTACACAAATGAATGTCACATTGGAATGTTTTAATACTTGTTAAAATGTTTTAAAAAACTTAATAACTGAAAACAATGTTAAAAGTTCAAAGTATTAAAATTAAATGTGAAAAATAATTCAATTAAAGTCCTTCGGGTCATATAAACGTAACAGAAAACTAGGAAGACATGATCTATAGAGAATAATCTGGCCAGTATACTATGCAAACCAAGGTCCTCAAAGGAAAAACAGCTAAATGAGAAGTCCAAAATATGTATGTAAAAGAAAAGACAAAAGGATGAAGCAAATAAAACTTGCTTAACAGGTGTCCCAAAATCTACATCCCCATACATCTGTGTCCATGTACTGAACATGTACTGAACAATGAACAGAACAATGTACAGCAGCAACAGCAAATCAGATCTCAAACATGGTTACAGTAACATATATATATGTCAATAATTGCATCTGGGATTTCTATTGCACACACTAGAATTTCTTAGCAAAAGCCACTCTTTCTATTTCAGAAAAAAAATCTGATATTGCTGGAGAAGCAGGAAAAGCTAGTGCAGGAATTGCCTTAGGATACAGCAACACTCATTTGCCATGAAAAAATGCAAGAATGTCAATATGAATTATAACACTGAGTAAGCGTTCACACAGGGATATATCATTATGCTGAACATTAAACACAAAAATATGGACTGTACAGTATTTTTATCATGCATGTGCATAGCTTTAGCATTTAATACTGGACCTGATGATTAAACGCCTTATTATATTATAAACAATTATTTCATTTTAGACAGAAACACATACTTCTGTCTATAAACAAGCACTGGGTATCAAAAGTACAAAAGCAATGTCATAAAAAAGAACGCCATTAAGCTTTATGGACATTGGATTCTAAAATAAGCAAGTCTTTTTACAGTTTTTGTCCAAGCAGTTTTTTTTTCAAGAAAAAGAGTCAGCTGCACAGATGTACAGTTCTGCTTAGCAGTCACCCTAACGTGGTACCTGTACTTCACTGGCGCGGAATGTCTCGTTCCTGTGAAGTGTCTCAGATAATGGCGCTACGGGCTGGTCGTCCCTCTCCTCATAAAACATGTATGATCTGGATGGGTCTCTGGTGGTGTGCATTGAGTAAGAGGGCGCCACGCTGTGCTGGTCAAAGAGAGGCTTTCCATTGGTGATATGCATGGGATTATCATACACATGGTTGTAAGGGTCCATAGGTGACTTGTACTTTCGCCTCTTGTCTGCTCGTCTGATGACAGAAGAGAGATGAAAAGTTTGTCATAATATATCTACTTATATTTTATCTTTTCTTATGAACTAAAGAAAATTCAAGTACTTATTTGCACAGCCCTAAATAGAGGGCTTCTGCATTTTTAATCATGATAGATAATAAAGAATACTAACACAAATGCACACACACACACACACACACTTAAACATTAACACTACAATGCGAAGGCAAAATTTAATCCCTATTAATTTAATCCCTCACCTGGCACACCAGCATATCAACATCAGCAACAAGATGATGAAGATGAAGAGAATGACTCCTCCTATAGAGAAGCCCACAATATAATCCCACTCATGGCTGTTGGTGATGGCTGAAAGAGAGAAGGTTATCATAAACTGGCTGTTTCAAAGATGGCTATGTCTTATATATATTAACAAAAAATAAAATAGATGACTTGTTCAGATAAATAAGATCAATTGTATTTTTTCAGTGGGTAAAAATTAAAACTGGTGAGAGTACATCTTCAGAAAGTACTTTCAATTTATGCCGTTTACCATGGAACCATTCCATGAACAACTTTTATCATGCAAATATTTTCTATAAATGATTTTTCCATACATTTATCATAAAATATATCTCAAGGAAATGAAAAATAAAAAACATTACTTACGTAGGCGAACTGCACATGTGACACCTTCATAATATTCACGACAGACGCATGTTGGCATGGAATAAATATTGCCACTCTTGGTGCATGTGGCATTGTTCAAACAATACCCTGTGTCACATATATCTAGAATAGAATATTCCACAATAACATCATGCATACAATTAATGTTATATCACCAGGGTAATGACAGTTATAGCACTTATTAACCAACAGAAAACATAATGAAATATATAGTTTTAAAGTATTTTGCTGCATCTTGGTTGACAAGGCCAATATAAGGTTAAATGTAAAGGTACCCTCCAGCCTCAACACACTGTCAGTACACATGAACTTTGTCAGTCACACTAATCTTCACCACTGTCTCACATAATAGACATAAAGTTTAATACATGCTTTTAATATGATTATGAGTTAATAAATAACAAACATAATTTGGGGTTGTAAGAAAAAAGTCTGAAGAAATGGCTCAATGGAGTTACAATCAGGAATCTGGGGACTGCTGAAGGTGGAAGCCCACCAAGAAAATGTAACAAACTTCCAATTAAAATTTAAAAAAACTATGAATAGACAAGGTCCATCCAGTGTTTCTCCTACCTGTACAGGTGACACCATCCCCTACAAAGCCAGTCTTACAACTACAGGTGAAGCTGTCCAGGGTGTTGGTACAGATACCGTGCTCAGAGTGGCAGTTGTTAGTGGCAGCACTATTACACTCATTGGTGGCTGAAAAGAAAAAGATTACTTTTAAACAGATTGAAATCTTAACATATTGAAATGTGCAAAAAAAATGGGAAATTGTCAATACAAAATAATGTTTCATTAACAAAAATAAAGGAAGAGTGTCTGGACTATTTTTGGGCAATAGCATCCTTTCTCTCATAAGCATCAAATGGTCTAAATAAAGAACAAGGTAGAAATATTTGGCTTCATTACTTTATGAACATTTCAGAAAATGCTGGGTTACAAAAGTTCAATGTAGCCAAATATTCAATTGCCCACTTTCATAAAACCTTTCAGAAGATTCAAGAAAACAAAGGCCACATTTGCTTACATTGACAGTCGGAGGCTCTGGTGGCCCCAGGGCTTGCTGTCCTGTACTGGTCATTGTTGGCACTATCAAAGCGGCATCCTTTACAAGATGTCTGCCATCGTTCATCCTGATACGAGTCTGTGGGGCAGGTCACGCAGGAGGAGCCATTGATATAACTTCCTGCCTGGCAGTCTCCTAGACATGGGAAAGCAGACGACAGCGTTAGCTTATTGTTCTGGTCCAGAATTGTTGTGACAATGAAGGAAATTTTTATCTTATTTACATCTTTATATAAAACACAATTTAATTCAGCTGGTTGCATTAAACCAGATGGCAAGCCTAAAATAAGATTTACTATATTACAGAAATCATTCACACTCAACATGTCTAGATATAACAGTAAATTTGACTATACCCAAACAGAAATTGGAAATACTCAGATTTACACCACATCCATGCTTTCACACACGCGCACACACATGCATACGCGGTCACATTCTATGTGGACTTACCATAGATACACTCAGAAGCTGCTGTGGCCCCCTCAGCGGCAGCAATGAGTCCATTGGGACAGGGCTGACATGTGGTGGAGGTGGCTTTATTTCTGAACTGGTTACGTGGACATATATCACACTGGTTGACATTACTAGCACTAATCTGATAACCACTAGGGCAGTCAGCTGGAATATAACACAGGAGTATAACCATCAGTGACATTACTAGCACTAATCTGGTAACCACTGGGAACAGGTTCTGATTTCAGCTGGCAATCATTTAGTCATTTGGCCAACTAAACATAAACTCCTTGAGAGTGTGCATCTGGGTACTCTATCAGATTTAATTGCATAATGCAATGAAACCTAATCTCCAACTATTTAATTCAGGTTAGTACAGAGATGATTGACACTGACTTCTGCCAAGTTTTCCTCTCAGCTAACTTTATCCATAGATAAAGTTAGCTGAGAGGCCCAAAGCAGGAAACTGTGTCAGAAACTCAAACCAGGTAACTCTATCTACAGATAGAGTTACCTCAGACGCATTTTTAAAGGAATTAAAGCCATTACACTTTGACTATCCATGGGTTGGTTCCAGTGTTCAAACTCAAAAAATAAACATTATCTCTGAAATATCTTGAAGTATCATAGTCTTTAATTTGAAGGGCCCAAAATAAAGATTTAACCTCTGTATAATTATATATGGTACTTGGTATTTTCAACTAATGAATGGCACAGTAATGCCAATTGTAAATGAAAAATATTAATTACTTAATTCTTTCAACTTGTAAAAAAATATTAATTTTGAAATTTTCATTTAAAAAGATCTTCTACATTTACTGGGGGGGGG